AAATAAATAAAAAAAGAGACAGTGGGCGACGTGCTCGCAGAATTTACAGGCGGGATCCAGCTGGGCAGCTAAGGCACATGAAAGATGCGTCGCAGCAAGCAAAGCTCCTGATCTGATCTGTGGGGCGGGCAGACTCACCCCCTGGGCCAGCAGGCGACAGCAGCCAGAGGAAGCCATGAAGGTGGAACCACCTCGAATGGAGCCAGAGAACCGTCACCCACGTGGGAGAGGAAAGGTGCCGGCTCTTCCAGCACCTGAAGTCCAGCTAGACAAAGTTGCAAGACTTGGCATGGGCAGTGGAACCACGGACAGCTGGGACAACTGAGTGCCCCCAGGCCACTGGCCACATCACCAACCAGCCACAGCCGGGGCCACCACACACTGGGGGACACTGCATGAGGACCAACAGGGAGAGCCCAGACTGTGCTCCGCCATACCCAGGATATGGGAGCTGCTCTCCTGAGCTGTAACAGTAGCCCCAGACTCGGGCATCGCCCTGCTCCACATCTACCGGGCGATGTGGGCATGCGAGAGCCCACATCATCGGCTCGAGCTCCCCTCTCCCCTGCTCTGGGCTTGTGGGAGCCGAGAGGGACTCTCCACGCTGTCTGGGAAGGACTGCTTTGTCCAGCTGGCCCTGTGCCCTCACAGGGCGCTTGTCCTCCCTGGGACTCCCCTTTGTGGGGCAGACAGAAGCCTGAGAGCTCCCCCGGCCACTCACTCCTGATTCTCGGTGGTGGGTTCCGGCCAGAGAAGCCCCAAGACCTGTCAGGCTGCAGAGGCCCAAGGGACACCTTGCCCTGCACTGCATCTGCCATGATGGGTGCCATCACTGCTGACGCCTATCTCCTGATCCCGGTGGCTCTGTGGGGCATGGTGCCTGGCCCAGTGGAGGGCTCAACACATGCCAGGTGGATGAAAGAAGGAAAGAATGGCTGGAGAAGCTGAGTCTGCCATGCTCACAGTAGGGCAACCTGGGAGGTTCTCAGTGAAGGGTCCCTTCCCACACCTCCGTGTCCCACCCTCACGTCATCACGAGGTGCACTCTTGCTCAGCCAGCACCTTCTCTCTTCAATACACGCTCCCTGCACTGACATCATGCCTGTTGCTCAGAGATAAGGGCCTGGTGACCATCTGGCTAAGAAGGCATTTCCAAGTTCAAGACTTGTTCTTGTCATGACAAGAAAGGTGACACCTGTCCCCAGACTGAGCCTGCAGTGGAGGGAAGACATCAAACGTGATATCATGGGGTTAGCAGACAAAAGGAACACCATGGTGGTGGGGGAGGTAAGCCTGTGAGGGTGTCACACAAGTGAAGCCTGATCCTGAGCTGCAGTCATGTGAGGGAGCACCCACGCTGTGGGGTGTCATGGGTGAAGGCCAGGAGGCATGGCACAGAGGAAATCCGTGTATGGAAGAGAGTGGGGCCAGGTCAACAGGTGCTTCTGGGAAGGGGCAGATGGGAGGGAGGGTGTCCTTTGTACTGTGATTTTGGTAACTTTTCTGTAAGTTTAAAATTATTTCCAATTAAAAGTTAAAAAAAAAAAAAAAAACCTTGAAACAAATTGTCTTCAGACATCCTGACTTCTTAACATTAAAAATGTCAGTCTGGGCCCGCCCAGTGACACAGTGGTTAAGTTCGCACACTTCACTTTGGCGGCCCAGGGGTCACAGGTTCGGATCCTGGGTGTGGACCTAGCACCACCCATCAAGCCGTGCTGTGGTGGCGTCCCACATGAAGTAGAGGAAGACTGGCACAGATGTCAGCTAAGGGACCATCTTCCTCACAAAACAACAACAACAAAACATCAGTCCTTCCGAGCTTGGACTGCACTAAGAATTTATAACGGACCAGACAGGAGCTGGAAGGACTTTGGCAAATCTCTTTTTCAGAAACACTATCAATACTTTTCAGCAACATGTGCAAGACCCGTGTAAGGACACAGCAGACATGGCCTCCTGCAGCATCGGAGAAGCTGTCCTTCCACAGTGACAGTCCACAAGCTCACTGCAGCTTCCGCCTTGGTTTATTCACAATCAAGGTCCCCAATGGGGCAAGGCATTAGTTCCTGTTTCCACTTCGACAAGTCACTGAAATGGACAGAAACGCATTTCCTTCAACAAGATGGCCCGGGCCCGGCAGTTTTCACGTCTTCAAGCTTAGCCCTGCCTTCGGGTTCGTCCTATGCGCTGAGGCACTGATGGGCTTTTGGAAAGCAGAGGCAAGGATGGGATGTCCCACATAGGTCTCACTCCACTCTCACACTACAAAGTCTGGGGGTGGAGGGAAAATATCTCTGAGGCCCCACTTTAAATGATGGAGAAAGTGTTACAAATGCCACAGAGATGCAGGAGGCAGGTGCTGACCTGTTGCTGGGCTGTAGGTCTTACAGGTGACACGCCTGAGACCTCATGTCCTACAGCCCAGAGGTTCCTTCAAGCAGAACCCCGGGGAGAGAGAAGCAGGCCCCTGCAGCTGGGACTTCACCCCAGGGGCCTCTGACAAGTGCGGCCTCACTAGTCGCAGGAACAAACATGAGGCCCAGGTCCACCACAGCCCCAGCGTATGGCCCACAGGCCTGGTGGTTGTGCTTTTCCCAGAGAGCTGTCTTCAGCCTCTGCATGGCCACTGAGGCAGTTCCATTCTGGACTGTCACACTGACCCACTGACTGGGTTGGAAATGTTCTAGAACACGGTGTCACAGCACTAGACCCCTTACTTTCGTATTTAGATGGTCACGGGCATGTCTGTATGGGGCTCACCTTGCATGGACGACAGAAGTCTCTTATCCCCCCTCCTGTCTCATGGCCCCCTAGACCCCCAGTCGGTGGCGCCAGCTCGCCTGGAGCCCCACACCCTGTGAAACAAGTGCTTCTCTCTCTCTGATGAAGGAGCTCTGGGGCTGGGCTGCCGGCTCCTTCCATCTGAGGGAGTTTCAGTGCGGAACTCTCTGTAGACTGAAACAGGAACAGGCAGGTGGGTGGGCTGCTTGCCGCCACAGGGGCAAAGTAGTTAAATTGTATTATAATTTAAGAGGAGACACTCCCCATCCCTTCTCTCTGGCAGCATCTCCACCAGTTCCAGCAGAACAGGTGCACACGGAGGCCAAGCCATCAGGTGACCAGCAGCTGGAGGTGGGCAGTGCAGTAGCCCACGATGCCACCTGTGTTGCTACGTCTGACTGATCCACATGCCCCCATGGCTCCCCTCTCTGCTGGGGACCTCCTGACGGAGTGTGTCCCCAGAACCACACCCCAGCCCTCGCTCTCCACTGGCCATCCCTGACCCAGCACACAGGCTGAGCATCCAGTGGGGAAGGCAGCCTGTTGCTGCAGGGAGGGCTGGACCGCTGGACGCTGGGGCAGTGACCTGAGTGTGAGCAGGAGTCCAAAGGAGACAGAGGGGGCTGCAGAGCATGGGTGGAGGGCCAGAAAAGGACCCCAAGGTGTGAGTGTGGCTGACAGCCCTGGACCAGCTGGGCAGAGGCAAGAGCCCAGGCAGAGGGTGGTCAGGGAGTGACAGCTATGGCTCAGGACCTCGAGGCCACCCTGATGAGGGTGGGGCTCCACCTGAGGGTAGCATGGAAGTGGGCCCACACACCGTGGAGGGGAGCGAGGGCAGATCTGGAGGCCTGTCATGTCCAGGAGGAGAGGCTGAGAGAGCAAGAGCTCAGTGAGGTGCTGCGGGTGGACCCTCCACACAGGCTGGGGTCTGGGTGTGGGGGACCCACCAGGTGAGAGGCTTCCTACGGTCCTCTCTTGATGTCATTCTACAAATGTTCATAAAATTACACTAAAACCACCAAGTTCCAGCTATTCACTCAAGAGAAATGCTCAACAACCATCTCACCAACCCTCCTGTCTCAGGTGTGAGACTCAAGGCCCCAGAGGAGGTGCAAGGCTGAGAGAGACCGAGTGGGCCCAACAGTGCTCACAAACAAGAAAATGTGAGAGGGGCCAGCCCCATGGCCAAGTGGTTAAAGTTCCATGCGTTCTGCTTTGGCGGCACGAGTTCTCGGGTTCAGATCCCAGGTGTGGACCTACACCACTCATAAGCTGTGCTGTGGTGGCGTCCCACAAACAAAGTAGAGGAAGATCGGCACAGATGTTAGCTCAGAGCTAATCTTCCTCAAGCGAAAAAGAGGAGGATCGGCAACAGATGTAAGCTCAGGGAAAATCTTACTCACAAAAGAAAAACAAAACAAAACCAAACAGAAAAAATGCAAAATGAGGACCCACTACTTTTTCATCCTTTAAAACCTCAGAGTAACAGAAATCAACTACATGTGATGTCTAAAACGGACATCAGCTGTAGGGAAAATAACTTCCTTTTAAATCACAATTCCATTTCCTACTAATCCACAAACTTCTGTGTGACTCCTGCTCACTGACGATTGGCAGATCTGTAGCTACTAAAACCCTCATGGAAGCGAGACAACAGCCCACATGCCTTTCTTCTCCACCCTTGTCGATTTTAGAATAACAGGAACTAAGAGGGAGCCACCAGTGATTTCAGCAAAAGTGGGTAACTTCATTTACAGGGCTGTGTGAAGCTGCCTGAAGGGCCTCGGTGAGGCTGGTGGCACTGGACACACCAGCCCTGGGAGTTTGTGTTAGAGTCTGCTCTGAGTGGGCGCCAGGGTCCAGCCAGCACAGTATTTCTAACCAGATCCTGCTGACAACGACCTCTGTTTTAACTTGGGCTGTCCTTAGCCAAGCTGTCACCATCTGCCTCAAAGTGTCCCCAGTGGACGGAGCCTGGGGAGGAGCCAGACTGAGCACTGGAGGTCGGGGCACAGCTGGGCCTCAGCTCCCTCTACACCGTCCATGGGCAATTCAGGAAACACCAGCAGGCGCCCTCAGTAAACATCAGCCGGCATCCCTGTTGTCCAGCAGGGCAGTGGGGACTCTACCTCCAAAGCAGAGAGACCCTGAACCTCTGTGACTGGCCTGTGACCTCTGCGACCCTTGTGCCATGAGCCAAGAACAGAGAGGCTCACCTTAGTCTCCTTCTCGTTTCCTTCCGCGTGCAGGATATAGGGGTAGCCCTCCTTCTGTGGGTTTTCTGAGACAATGCGTACCTCGACGCCTGGCAGCGGAGTCCCCACAGAACCTGCAGGGAGAGGATAAACATAGGAGAAAAGGAGGCAGAGTCAGAGAGATCCCCAAGGACAGGACCACACGCCCGAGGTGTTTGGACCTGCCTGGACGTCTCGCAGGCGGGAGAAGACCCAAGAGCCAAGGGTACGGAGCCCAAGCAGTGCGCACAGTGGCTGCCCTGGCCGCAGCAGCTACCGGCGGCATTGAGGCCTGGCTCTGAATGCCCCAGAGACTTCAAGTCTTCTTGGGAGGGCCTCCTGGCACCCAGACTGGATGCTGGGACTGCTTCCATTTTTATTCTAGCACCTGATGAGCATTATGGGCACGGATCGCGGACTGTCCCCAACAACGGCACTGAGGTGCACTGTGCAGAGAAGGTCCAAGAGGGAGGAGTAGTGCCGGCAAGCAGGCGGTGAGCAGGCACCACATGGGAGGGGGACACTGCCACATGCTGGGTCCTTATTTGGCGCCATGGTTGGTTCAGTGTGTTCACTCCAGCGTGTGTGGCCAGCTTACAATCCAACTCGGGACCTGCATAGGTGAGGGCAGGTGGCCTGGCCGTGCCCCACAGTCATCATAACAAAGGAGTGAGGCAGGGCAGAGGTCCCGAGATCAGACACTTGGCACCTGTGGAATTCACTTCAGGGTCTCAGGCCCTCTACTCCAACCGCAGAATCAGGGAGGAGCTGTTCGGGACGATCGTTCGGGAGCCTGACTCAGCAAACTCTGCAGGCACTCAGTATTCTCGGATGCCCTGTCCACTCGCCACGAGCTCTGCTACGTCAGTCTTGTTCTGCTAGACCAGCGCCATCCCATCCCCATCGCCTGTCTTTGGCCTCTGAGGTCCTGGGGGTGAGGCCTGGGCCCCACAGCCTTCGGGAGCTCTCTGCTGTCCCACGCCCTGGAGGCCTCACACCTCAACTCTGGTCAGAAAGCCGTGTCCCTGTCCCAGCAGGAAGCAGATGGACCAGCATCCTCCCATCCCCGCTTCTTTTTTCTACGTTTTGCTTCCAAAGATTTTTTAAGTTAAACTGAAATTCATATAAGATACAATTAACCATCATAAAGTGCAGTTCAGCGACACTTAGCACATTCACAACATTGTGGAACCACTGTTACCACCTAGCTCCAGAACATTCTCATCACCAAGAAGGAAACTCATGCCCGTCAGCAGCCACTCCTTACTCCCCAGCCCCAGCAACCACTAATCTGCTTTCTATCTGTGGATTTGCCTGCTCCGGACATTCATATAAAAGGAACCACAGAACAGGAGCCCTCCCATCTCTTCTTGGTGATCCGTCTACTCAGAGCTGGCAGTGGCACAGGCGCCAGGACACTCAAGACTCAAGACAGCCTGGAAGTGGGGGTGTCTCACCTCCAGTGTGCAGACAAGTCTGAGGACCAGAGACAAGAATGAGCCTGTGAGTGCAGAGGGGGCTCCAACCCCAGCCCTCTGACCCAGCAGGCCTATCAGCACAACCCTGGGCACAGTGAAGCCCAGCTGCCACTCCACGCACCTGCGATGAAGTTTCCAGGTGATCTCGAGGTGGTTATCTGTTCCAGGTTAAATGAGCCCTTTCCCGGCAGGTCTCTGTTCAGTGACAGGTTTACCTCCTGTCCTCTACACTGCAGCTCCCTGACCTCACGGTCTGATGAGGACCAACAGACGCACGGGCACAGCGACCTGGCTGGGGCCCAAGGTCTTCAGGTGGCTCCCAATTGCTCGTGTGTTACTGACAGACTTCAGCAGGCTACCCTGGTGTTAGCCCTTCGTGACCACAGTGTGTGGTCGTAATTTATAATGTAAGTGTGGGTATAAAAGCCACAGAACAAAAGGTTTAAGGGAGGAACTGGGCAGATAAAGTGCAGAGGAGAAAGGCCACATGTAGGAGGTGGGGCCGAGGCCAAGCGGGACGCTGAGCCAGGCCACGCTGACCTGACACCATGCCGACCCGGGCCTCCCAGCTGTGCAGGCCCTGCTGGGCTGATGCCGCCCCATATCCACATCCAGAGAACGGTTCCTTCTGCTTGAAGGAGGTGGAGCGGTGCTGGGAAGGCTGATTAGTGCAAACAGTGAGAAAACATCAGACACTGCAAACTGATTTATTACCTTCCGAGACTGGTCAGATAGGATTTCTTCAAGTGCCTGCCAGAGATAAAGAGCTCCACGAACACACCTTGAGCAATCAGGCAGAGTGTGATGACTTCATCAGGAGGCACTTCATCAACTGGAGTATAGAATCTTACACAGGACCAACCGCCTCACAGAAGTAAAGCCCGCTCTTCTTCCCTTCCTTCTGAGCTCCCGTCTCAGCAGCGGGGTGACACCTGCTCCGGCCCCGAGCCCTGTCCGACAGCGATGTCTCCTCAAGCGTGAGCCTGCGCTCACCTCCCCAGAAGGAAGGAAGCAGAGGCTCCTTCCAGGCCCTGGATGCCACGAGCTATGTGTGGCAAACGGAGCCGTGTGGAGCTTCGCAGCTGGCCTCATGGCAGGGGAGGCACATGGCCACCCCAGGCCGTCTGACCACCTGCAATGGCTGTTGGGCAGTGTGTGGAGAAGGTTCAGGGCGCCGATCGCACAAGGCTGCCTGCCCTCCAAGACGCCAGTCACAAGTGGTGTGTCCCCAGGTCGCCCACAACTTCTGGCTTGGCTACAAATCGGAGGTTCCCACGACCCCCTGCTCCGGGTCAATAACCCGATAGAGTGGCCCACAGAACCCAGGAATTAGTTTACTTCCTAGGTCACCGGTTCATTACAAAGGACAGGACTCAGGAAGAGCGGACGGAAGGGATGCCGAGGGTGAGGCATGGGGAAAGGGCTCCAAGCTCTCATGTCCTTCAGACACCACCCTCCCAGCCCCTCCACGAGTCCACCAGCATGTTCAGGGTGTTATGGAGGCTCCATTATGCAGGGACGATTGAGTAAAGCACTGCCCATGGGTGAGTGACTCAACCTCCAGTCCCGTCCCCAGAGGTGGGAAGCGGGGGCTGAAAGTTCCAACCCTCTAATCACTGGCTGGTTCTCCTGGCAGCCAGCCCCCCTCCTTAGGGACTTTCCAAAGTCACCTCATTAACACAGACTGGGGTACCGTTGGAGGGGCTCGTTAGGAATAACAAAAGACATCTTTATCACCTAGGAAATTCCAAGGGTTTTAGGAGCTCTATGCCAGGAATTCGGACAAAGACTAACATATATTTCCTATCAGAAGAGGGACCTCCAGGCTCCCCCTCACTGCCTGCTCACCTGCCTTTCAATCCACTGCTTTCTCCTTTCCTTCCCGGGCTCCAGCCCCTCTCTGTCCTGCTCAGTAAGGCCTTTCCTCCCCTCTCAGCAGTGAAAGTTACAAACCGTTAAGAAAATCTATAACGAAAGTGCTGACAGAATCTTAATTAATTAGGAAATCACAAACACAATAGAATTAAAATCTCTAGGCAGAAACAACGACTTGAGTTTCACAGGCCTGTGACCTGTTAAAGTGAGGTCCACAGAGAGGAGACTGCAGCCAGGGAGGGGCAGCCATGGAGCGCCGAAACACCCCTGAGCTGCCCGGGGCAGAGTAGGGTCACCTGGGCAGCAGCCATCCTCCTAGGATCCATGTGGACAGCGCCCCCTCCTGTACCATGCGGACAGTGCGGCACTCCTAGCGTCCACCTGGGCAGCAGGGCTGGCCACAGTCAGAAGTGGCATGTCATTCTTCTGCCTCTCTTTAAAACAGTTGTCAGCTCTTCCCCGATAACTTTAATTGGCCTGTGGCTCTGTCCAGTGTCTGGGGAGCGAGGCTGCTCTGCAGCTGGTCCCGAGAGAATGGGAACAGGCTGATAAGGTCCTGGAGCTCCTGTCAACGCTGGAGTCCCGCTGCAGGAGCCATTAGCGCCTCTGATCTCAACCTCCAATTAGAGCCTGATTAGGCCCAGTGGTGCTTGGCCATGAATTATTCATCTCCCTTCACGGTAACCACATGGGATGCAGAGAATGAAAGATCGGAGGATCCCACTCAGCACTCACCCCTCGGCAATGTCCCTCCTTCACACAGCGTGCCCCTCCTCTGAGGATGCCCTTGCCCTTCCACGCCCCCACCAGGTTTCCAGAACCTTTAAATGAATCCTGGTGGTCGTTTGGGGGATGGTAGGAGTAATGCTCACAGGTTGCGTGGGCAGCAAGAGGAAGGGGCTGCCAGAAACGACCCCTGTGCTGGGAGCAGGCATGGGGGCGCCCAGGAGGGGCAGCACAGCTGTGTCTTGAGTGCAAATGGGACACAGGCCAGGCTCTAACACAAGTCCAGAGCCTCCAGCTGGAACAAGCCCAACCCAGGAGCCAAGGCACACTGAGAAGACACCGAGGCACCCAGAGAACCTCCTCAGGCTGATTTCTCCAGAAACAACTCTCAGAGATGGCACCTGAGGGATCTTCATGTAGCACTCCTGAATTTAATGTTGAAGGCTACTTTTTTCCAAACCACAGACATGGCACTGTGCTCGACTGTTAGAGGCTTGCTTTACAGACAAGAAAAAAATCATGGATGTCTGATTCCGGTGTACAGAAGGGAGACCACGCCCAGCCTGCGTTCTGATGTCACACACACTGTCTTTGAGGCCTGAATAGGAGCTGCAGCCATAATTTAAGATTCAAGAATTTCTGCACTCTAATTTCTTGCCCAATAAACCCTGGGTTTCAGAGTCTTTGGGTTCCACCTTCCACAGAGGGAGCTGGAGGTGGCCAGTTCAGTCGGGGACCCTCTCTGTGTACCTCTGTCCAGGGTGACTGCTCTGCCAGCTCACCTGAGGATTCTGCCTCCACCATCTGACCTGCACTTTAACATTGCCTGCAAACGGTCCCTATGTCTCCTTCCCGCAGGCAGAGATGGTCCCCATCTCAATCCCCAGTTAGTCCACGCATCACCCTTTGCTCACTCCATCCTGTCCCAGCTCCTGGTCTTGGCTTCTCAGCCTTGTGTTTGCTCTTGTAATTAAGGCCCAGAAGACTCCCTGTCCATCATTTTGCCCCCTCTATCTTCCTCCAAATAAGGTCGTCTGTTGTGCCGCTGTGCCCCCAGCAAAATGGGTGTTGCAGTCTAACAGTGCGAATGTCCACTCCGTCACTTACAGCCGGGTGGCCTTGGGCATGTTAGGCAGTCCCTCACAACCTCAGTCTCCCCTTCTGTCAATGGGGTAAGACCACCCCTACAGCAGGGGCTCTTCTGGAGATGGTCTGGCAGCTTCTCAGAAAGTTAAGCAAGCACGCACCCACCTCTGACCCAGCAATCCCACTCCGAGGCGTTTACTCACGAGAAACAAAGACATGTTCACACAAAAGCCTGCACAGGAACGCTAACTGTCAGCCCTACTGGTGATTGTCCAAACTGGATGCAGCCCAGCATCCTTTAGCTGGTGACAGGTTAACAAATGGGGGCCCATCCACACCACGGGATACTACTCGGCAATGGAAAGGAACACGTGCTGACACGGATGAGTGTCAGACACGTCTTGCTAAGTGAGAAGAGCCAGACCCAAAAGGCCACATCCTGTAGGATTCAGTTGTATGGCACTCCAGAAGCACGACTACAAGAAGAGAAAGCAGGAAAGCGCTGGTCCGGCCCTGGGGTGCAGGAGGTGCTGACCACCAAAGGGGGGAGGCTTTGAAGCAATTAAACCCTTCTATATCTTGATGTGACAGCGGCTACATGACCACGTGTGTTTTTGATAACTCAGAAGTGAACGTGAGAAAGGCGAATTTTAGTGTTTGTGCAAGATAAATGGATGTACGGATATAATTACAGATACGGAATTATTTTACTTCCACCTGAGCTCTCTCTTGTGCTTTGGACACACTGGAGGGGACTTATGGCGAGGACGAAAGAAAGGCCGGGAACAGCACAAAACACGTTCCAGTCTCAGGCCTCGGGCTCTGCTCGCAGATGCCCTGTTAAAGGCCCAGGACGTGAAGTCTGTTTAAATGAAAGTCAGAGCAGAACGTCTCGGAGAAGGCTGGACAGGAAGACCAAAGGTCAGGAACTCCTGTCCAGAGCAGCAGGTCATCCAGGGCACACAGTCACCAAGCACGGGGGAGGGTCCCCTCATCCCTTGCCTCCACATTAGCCGTCTGTCCTGCTGCCACCAGCCTTGAGTGGCACAGGGTGCCTGGACGGGAGCAGCACCTGGCCCTAGGAGGCACTCTGCTGAGCACACAGTTTCCACTGGCTCCCATTCTTCCCACTTGTCCTCCCAAGTCACCCGAGAAGGACACAAAAACATTGTCCTTGACCAGCCACTTGGGAGAAAAGTGAGTGCCAGAGAGAACAGGCTCTCCTGGCCCCCATGGATGGGGCAGCATTCCCCAGACTGGCCCACCTGAGCAGCTCAGAGCAGAGGGAGAAGACACGGCTGGGGGCACTGCTCATACCTGGCAGGCGGGCTGCGGTCAGGGGGTTGGACAGGGCCATGCCGATCTCCGTCATCCCGTACCTCTCCAGCAGAGTGTGGCCTGTGATGTTCTTCCACTTCTCCAGCACAGGCAGGGGCAGGGCGGCCGATCCCGAAACCATCAACCTACCCGGCACAACCAGAGGCAGCCTTAGCTTCTCAGACATGACTCCACTTCTTCAGCACCATAAAGAATATCCTTTGTCCAACATCACTATTTTAACATTCGTAATAAAAACTGTAGTTGGGGCTAAAATTTAACTTTGTTCTTTGAAAAGAATTTGTTGGGCATACTTCAGAATGTAAATACGTCTTCAAAAGGAATGTGTAATCAAGGTAAAAGAAAAAAATAATTTTAAGGTCTTTGGTGGCACTATTTGCAAGTACTATGCTGTGCACAAACAATCCTAAATGACAGCAACAATCATAATAAGGTGATGACGACAAAATTTAGTTTATAGATAAAATGCTACCAGGTCTGAGGAGTAGGTGGGGCAGAGAAAGGAGACAGCACAGCTGGGGGACACAGGCAGAGGTCCTTCACACCGTCTCGGGCTAACAGGCTCATAATGGTGACAATGACACTGCATAACCTTGAGAGCTCCTCTGTGCCTTGGCGTATACCACGTCCCTTCAGCATTATGTGTACAAAGACAACACTTTTGTTTCTGGTGGGAGTTGGAGAGTAACCACCACTGCACTTCCCCACAAGGGTGTACAGCGCACGGGGACCTTCCCCACCATGAGCCTGCACCAGTGAGTCCAAAGGCCTCTGTCACCCAGGAGTCACCCTGACTTCCTCTCTCTGATCTCAGTCTTGCCCTCGGTTCCTTAGATTTGGGTAGAATGTGGTGCTAATCCTGCTCCTGTACTGGTGGCCCGCACATCAGACACTGTCATCAACAGCTGCCCAATCCCACAATGCCACAAGAGGCTGGGCTAGGAGGGCGCGGGCAGCAGGCGCCATCAGAAGAGGGTTCTGGCTCCACCAGAACATCTACACGACAGGAGTACAGGAATGGTGGAGCACCATCACAGCAGCAGCAGCAAATATTTGTCTTGGATGATCCAGAATGCTCTCCGGGAAACCAAGGTGCCCTCCTGCGCTCTTCTGAAGGACAAGGAATCAGAAGCACGGAGCGGCGCAGAGGCCACAGGTACACGCACGGAAACACACTGAAAAGTCTAAACGCACGTTTCCTAGCAGCTCGCTCGCTGTAGTGTGAAAGGCTGTGCTCACCACAGGCACAGCTTGTCATGACTCTCTGGCAACGTGCGTTGTTGGCCTGCAAAAACTCACCAAGCTGCTCTCTTGGTTGTGCACTGAGCGGGTCACACTCTACCAACGAGCAGGGAGAGAACTTGCTGTGTCTACAGGTTCACAAGGGAACGCAGAGCAACCTCCCACCACAGAAGGACCCAAAGACTCAGCGCCTCTCTGTCAGGGAGTGTACGGGATCGAGGAGGGGGCGCCAGGAGCCACAGACTGCAGTGCAGAGAAATGACACACAGCGGGTGGGGGGAAGAGCGGCGCAGATGGGGAGTCAGAAAGGACGGGAGTGAGAGGGTCAGTTCACTGCCCTCACCCTCGTCCTTCAGACTCAACCACAAGACAGACACACAGTCAGATGGAATAGAGATAGAGATAGAGAATACAGATATACACAGAGATAGAGAGAGGGATGGACCAGATACGGAGCCCAGACAGATCTACAGGGAATACAGACATAGAATATCGATTGGTAGACATGATATATAGGCACAGATTTTAAAGGAAATGGAATACACTGCTTCCTAAAACTTAGTACAACTGATTTATTAAAAATAAGTTATACTGTCTGATCTTTAATAACGACTTTCTGGATGGGAAAGTGGATTGTTTTCATTTACCTAATTTTTTCTTCACAAACTGCACGCACAAAATCCTGGACATGAGGCTGGGTGAAATGTTTGTCATAATAATCCATCAGCTTGGTGTATATTGTAGGCACTGCCATAAACACATTAATCCGTGGAGTTTCAGAACTTAAGAACTTTTCCCAAACCTAAAAAAGAAAAGGAAGGATATAGCGAAAAGATTAGAACTAAACCCACAGGCAGATGTGTGCGGACACCAGGTTCCAGGAAGGCTGTTCTTCACGAGGCCTCTCCCTTCCTTAAGCAGTAAAGTCTCTGCAAGCGGCTGCCATCCAAAAGGGCGTCTCACTTTTACAGGGTGACACAAGCCTCTGGCCCCCCCGGAAACCACACTGTGCCAGGAGACATTCAGGTCCGGCCTTGGGTGAACTGTGAGGAGGGGCGGATTCAAGGACGAAGAGCAGGGGCAGGTTCTGGCCTCAGATCTGCCGTCAAGAGAGATGTGGCGCCTCAGGCTCTTCCACGTGGCCACCCGCGAGCCTGCGAGTCAGCGCAACGCCAGGCAGATGGGCACGCAACGATGGTGAATGGACGATATCTTCTATTTTACTGGAAAAAGTCACAGGAATTTTATATTTTACTCCATAAAAGATGCTTCCTGTTTTAATGTAAAGACGCTTCAGGGGCTGGCCCAGTGGTGTAGTGGTTAGGTTCGCGTGCTCTGCTTTTGGCAGGCAGGGCTTTGCTGGTTCGGATCCCAGGCACAGACCTACACACCACTCATCAAGCCATGCTGTGGCAGTGTCCCACATGCAGAATAGAGGAGGACTGGCACAGATGTTAGCTCAGGGTCAATCTTCCTCACACACACACACACACACACACACACAAAGATGCTTCAAGTTTCTCACCAGTTAAAGTACTTGTGTGTGAACGCTAATCTTCAAGAAAAGCTGGCATGTCAGGCTCACTATGTGGCTCTTACACTGTGGTGCCACCGGGTGAGCCCACGGTCAGATGCAGAGCAGAGCTCATGGCACTGGGTGCTCAGTATGTTGTACACACGGATCTCGCCCCGACGACATGTGAGACATGGATGAATGGAATGAACGCCGCAGCCCAGCCCAGCCCGGCCCGATTCCTAACTGGATGGAAATCACTAGCTCCTCACCTCAGCTGCTAGACAGAGGAAAGGCATGCCTCTGCGGGCACAAATAACATCATCCTTTTGAGGACAATGACTGGCATCCCCCCAGAATCACAAAGCACGTAAGGAAACAGAAAAATGTGGCCCATGATTAAGAAAAAAGCGCCAAAAGAAGCAGACCCTCAGAAGATGCAGATGTAGGAATTATCAGACAAGTAATTTAAAACAATTACAATAAATAGGCTAAGGAATTTAGAAGAAAAGATGAACAAAATGAGGGAAAATCAAGGATTTCACCAGAGAACTGGAATTACAAAAAAGAATCATTATAAAACTGAAAAATATATTATCTGAAACGAAGAATTCATTGAACAGACTTCACCAACTAGAAGCAGGAGAAGAAAAGATAAAGGAAATGGAAATGATCTAAACTGAAGTAGAGACACGAAAGAAAAGACAAAGGAACAGAGTGCGCGATGCACAAAGGAAGCAATCTCAGATGCTGTGACGGTGGTCACCAGAAGACTGAGAGCAGAGAACACGCTCATGGATCGGAAGACTCAGTATTGTTAAGATGGCAACTCTCCCCAAACTGAGCTACAGCGTCAATGCATTCCTACCCAAACCCCAGCAAGCTCCATGCCGCAGAAATTTACAAGCTGACCCTACAATTTACATGGAAAGGCAAGGAACCCAGAAGACCCAAAACAAATGTGAAAAGGAAGAATAAAGGGGGAGGACTTACCCCTCCCAACTCTAGAACTTACTCTAAAGCAACAGTGATCAATGCGGCGTGATCCTGGTCTAAGATCAGACATATAGATGAACAGAACAGACGAGGGTCCAGAAATAAACCAACACGCTGAGGGCCAAGTGATTTTTGACAAAGGAGCCAAGTCACTTCAATGGCGGAAAGGATAATCCTCAAGAAATAGTGCTGAGACAACTGAACATCCACATGCAGAAAGATGAATTTTAGACCCTTACCTCACCATACACAAAAATTAACCCAAAGAGGATCAGAGACCCGAACATCTGAGCTAAAAGTATAAAACATCCAGGAAAAAACACAGGAGGAAATCTTTATGACCTTTGGTTAAGGAAAGGTTTCTTAGATATGATACCAAAAGCGTGATCTATGAAATCAAAAAATTGATAAAAGACTTCATCAAAATTAAAAATGTGTTTCAAAAAATACTATTAAGAAAAGTAAAAGATAAGCCAGACTGGGAGAAAATATCTGCAAAACCGTATATCTGATAAAGGACTTGTATCCAGAATATATGAGGAACTCATATAACTCAGTAATAAGATAACCCAATTTAAAAATGGGCAAAAGATCTGAATAGACAGTTCACCAAAGATAAATGGATGCAAATAAGACCATGAAAAATGCTCAACATCATTAGTCATCAGGGAAATGAAAATTGAAACCACAATGAGATACCACTTCATATCTACTAGCACAGCTATAATAATAATTTAAAAACCAGTTAACGAGTGTTGGTGAGGATGTGGAGAAACTGGAACCCTCATACACTGCTGGTGAGAATGCAAAAATTACAGCCACTATGTAAAATGGTTTAGCAGTTTCTTAAAACATTAAACATAAACTTACACACAACCCAGCTATACTACTCCTGCACATCTACACAAGATAAAGGAAACACGTCCACGCAGGAGTGGTGTGCAAACGTTCACAACAGCATTATTCTTAACAGGTGAAAAGTGGGAACAGTCCAATGCCCATCAAATGGCGAATGGGGGGACAAAGGGGGTACACCGTACAATGGGGCGCTAAACAAGGAACAACTGACTGGTACACATGCTACAACAGAGATGAAACTCAAAGAGTTTTACAGAACGAAAGAAGCCAGACACAGAAGACTACATATTACACAATTCCGTTCATATGCAATGTACGGGAAAGGAAAATCTACAGAGGCAGAGGCAGACAGTGGTTGCCAGAGCTGGGCACGGGAGCAGGGATTCAGACAATGATTGAACACCTCTATAAATTTACTAAAAATTGCTGAATCATTTACAATAGGTGAATTTTACGGCACGTGAATTAAATCTCGATAGAACTGTTTTTCAAAAAAGGAAGACGTAATAAAAACATTTTCAGTGAAACAAGCTGAGAGAATTTGTCGTCAGCACAGAGAATCTGTCACTACAAGAACTATAGGCTGAAGGGAAGCACAGATCTGAGGAACAAATGAAGAGTACCAGAGAAAGAAACACATAGGTAATTATCTTAAAATGTAAGGACCTGACTGTTTAAAGCAACAGTAACAGTGCTGCATCATGAAGACACAGGAAGGAAATAATAAGGAATAGAAGTTAATGGAATAGAAAGCACAGCTGCTTTAGGGAAAATCAACATCAAAAAGTTGGTTCTTTGAAAGATTAATAAAATTGATAAACCTCTAAAACAAGAGTGATCAAGAAAAAAGAATGAAAACATAAAATCAGACAGTTAAAGGAGACATCACTACAGATCATAAAGACAGTGAAAGAATAATGAGAAACTATAAACTACTTTATGCCAAATAATTTGACAAATTGACAAAATGGACAATTTCCTTTAAAAACAAAAACTTACCAAAACCGACACAAGAAACAAAATAGAAAATATTAGAAGTCCTGTATCTATCAAAGAATCTGAACCCTTAATTTAAAACCTTCCCAGAAAGGCCCAGCCTAGATGGCTTCAATGGTGAGTTCTACCAAACACTGGAGTAAAGACCAGTCTCAGCCTCACACAGACTCTCTGGGGAGGAGAAGCAGAGGAGCCGCAAACTCCCTTCAGGAGTGAGCACCCAGGACCCCGGCAGTCAGCCTGCCACTGACAGAGGCAGCCTCCATAAACCCCGAAAACGCTGTGCTCAGGGAAAGAAGCGGGCAAGCGCTGAGACCCTTTCCCTACGAAGTTCAACAACTCACATAAACTGACCGACGTGGTCGTCAGTTCAGAGGAGCTGCTGCCTCTAGTGGGTGACTCACTGGAAGGGGTCATGAAAGAACGGGGGGAGGGGAACATCTATCCCACCTGGTGTGAGCTACACAGGTATATTCACCAGAAACCACTACACCACATGCATTCACTCCCTGTACACAACACTCCAATAAAAGGAAATGAAACACCATACACACACATACAACACACCCACCCACATGGCTCATGTTAACAAGACTGACAGTACCCAGTGTGGGTAGGGATGCAGAGAAACCAGCACTCTCGTCCTGCTGGTGGGAGTCTAACACATGCATCTACTTTGGTGAACTCTGGCGGTTTCTACCAAAATTAAATACACGTCTAGCCCAGTGGATGTCTAGCACTAGCAGGTACAGGTCCAAGAGAAACGTCCACATTTTTATGAGATCTTTATGAGAATGTTTATAGAGCTTTATTTACAATACAGGGATACCTCAGAGAAATTGTGGGTTTGGTTCCAGAACACCATTATAAAGTGAATATTACAATAAAGTGAGTCAGGAATTTTTTGGTTTCCCAGTGCATACAAAGTTATGTTTACACTATACTGTAGTCTATTAAGCATGCAGTAGCAGTATGTCTAAAAAACAATCTACATACCTTAATTAAAAATACTTTCTTGCTTACACGCCAAGACATGGAAGCAACCCAAGTGCCCATCCACTGATGAACAGATGAAGAAGATGCAGTATACATACACAATGAAATACTACTCAGCCATAAAAAAGACAAAATTGTGCCATTTGCAATAACATGGATGGACCTTGAGGGTATCATGTTAAGCAAAATAAGCCAGAGAAAGACAAACACCATATGACTTCACTCATATGTGGAAGGTAAACAAGCACACGGATAAGCAGAACAGATTAGTGGTTACCAGAGGGGGAGGGGGTGGGGGGGCGGGTGAAAGGGGTAAAGGGGCACATAGGTATGGTGACAGATAAAAACTAGACTATTCGGGGTGAGCATGAGGCAGTCTATACAGAAACTGATATATAACAATGTACACCTGAAATTACACAATGTTATAAACCAATGTGCTC